ATAATTACTAAAACACCCTTACATTTTTTAATAAACCACAAAGAAAAAACCTAACCTAATCGAATGTGAGGAACTAGAGAAGAATCAGAGAGAGGAGAAGATTGAAGAAGAACTAAGACAGAGAGATTTGGTTTTTTAGCTGCTTTTTCTTCGAGACGCAATCAAAACCCAGGTTAGTTCTTCAATTTCAACTGTCCCTGTGAACGATTTGGTTTGTACTCAGATCGATTTTGTTGAGTTGTTGTGATACGAATCATGTTTTGTTGTTTGATGCTCGTAGCTTTAAATTCGACGTATTTTGTGGCTGATTTTGTGATTTTTGTATCTTTGTAGCTCTGAATCTGATAAAGACACAATGGAGGATTCAGAGAAAAGAAAAGAAATGTTAAAAGCAATGCGAATGGAAGCTACTGCTGCTGCATCACAGAATGATGATGGTTCTATGAACACAGCTCACCTCTCAAATCCGTTGGCTGAGACATCTACGGACCAGCAGGAATCGTACGAAACGCCGAGGTTTGATTATTACACTCAACCGATGTCTGCTTATTCTAGCTTCAAGAGAAACAAGACACCTAAGCAACAATATATCTCATCTCCTAGTCATGAAATCCGCTCTCCGGTACCGCAGTTTCCACCATCTGCTCCTGGTACTCTCGTTGTTTCTTGCAGCAATACTCTTGATAGTCAAACACTTGTGGAATTGTTTGATATGTCACTTCATCTTTAGCTTTCTAGGAATTGACAGTATTATAATCACATCACTTTGTGGAAATTCATTTAACTTTTTGTTCTCTGTCTTGTACTGATCCTTGCATTCTAACTGTGAAACAGGATCATTAGGCAGTGACTATCCGGCACATACAAATCATGGTGGTTTTCAAGCAGCTCATTATGGTACTGATAATTTGCATACTGGACCAAGAGGGATGTCGCATATTTCACCCTCACACAGAGGCTCACCCGCTGCTTGGAATAACAACTTTAGACCTCCGCCAGTTAACTATTTTCCTCCACCTCACCTGGTACCTGGCCCTTATCCATTTTCTCAAGAAATCCCTGACATGGGGCATAATAGATTTGGTGGTCGAGGCAGCTACAACAACACCGCTCCACAATTTCCCCACTACGGACAACAAAATTCTAATTGGGCTGGAAACAGATATCCTGGTTCAGGAAGAGGCAGAGGTAGAGAACGCGGTATGAACACAGGCTTTGGTAGAGATGGAGGAAGAAGACCCATGGAACTAGGCGCAGAACGATTTTACTCCAACTCCATGACTGAAGATCCCTGGAAGTATCTTAAGCCAGTCTTATGGAAGAGTTGCTCAGATGGTTCTAGCAGCAGCAACTCAACAGGTCGAACCTGGCTTCCGAATTCTATAGCACCAAAGAAACCTACGATGATCTCAGAATCTTCCCACAAACCTAGCAGTAAACAGAGCCTTGCTGAGTACCTTGCTGCTTCTCTAGACGAGGCTACGTGTAATGAGTCAAACTAGTGATCAGGACAATTGGCCGAGTGAAAACACCGAATCCAAGCATTTGGAGTATTATCAGGATGCCTGGAAAGGTCCCCGTTCCATAATGATCAGCAATACGGGTGTTCAATCCGGGTCCTTAAAGCATTTAAGGTCTCTAGTTTATAGGTTGTTAAAATACCAACTTCAAGCTCACAGGGAGAAGCTAAGAATCCTTAACTCATAGGTCAAGCTATTGTTGCCTTCATCACTCTGAGAAAGATTGAAGCTGCAAGAGAAATAGCTCACACCGTATCTGTTTTCTCAAAATGACCATTTTGCTCCTCTTCAAGATTTGTTAATCAGTGTTTTGTTTAGTTTCTTTTTCTTATTGTAGCTTATGGATTAATTTACAATTACTATTAAATAATTTTGAACAGTACGTTTCTTTTATAGATTACGAAGTACTCTTAGTTTACCAAGGCAATACAAAAAAAAGTGTAAGTTAACAAATAAATCAAATCGTGTCTAACCAGGAATCAAACTCATCTAAAACTTTGGATTTTCCTACCGAGGACGAGGAGGAGGTCTGGTCCTGCTGTGGTTTTATCGACACTGAAGTACTTTCGAGCAAATCATCAAGCACATCATGGAAACCTGCCGTCTGAAGCTTGTGATTAGATGGCTTCACTGGCTTGTTGAATGATTTTGCGCCGTTATGAGAGTTGAGAAGAGAATCCAGCTCTGTTTCAAAAGCTGAAGATTTTTCAACACAAGGATTCTGATTGGATGTCCTCGAGTTGCTGCAAACTGAGTTAGGCTGAGTCTTCACTTCACCAAAGGAGTTGAGGAGGAAATCTAGATCAGCTTCAATTGCTGAAGACTTCTCTGACTGGTCTGTTTGTATTGGTATGTCCTTAACTTGATCCAGCGACTCAGCCTCCACGACTAATGACTCGCCTTGCGAAACAATTGGGCCAATCTCTCCACTGGATTCTTGTTGAACCAGCTTATTATCCCTCGCTATCACAGCTTCCACGTTTTGGGCTGTGTGTGAAAGACACGGTTCTTCATCGCGACTCAGTTTTGATTGGGATGTACACTGCACAATCCATAATATTGAATATGTCAAAACATAGAACCTAATGTTGTCTACGGCTAGTGGTTTTAGATTCAATAAACATACCCGCTCGGGTGGCAAAAGATCGGCTTCGATGTAGAGTCTCTCGTGCAAGTCCACTTTCTCTAGCGTTTTTGCCAGAGCATTTAAATTCAAGGAGAGGAACCCGGGCTTCATGTAAGAAAAGTTGGGGAAACCGTGAGACGATTAGCAAGTTAAGGACGGTACTAAACCTTCATTTTAGGCTTAAGCTAAGAAGCAAAGAGCATTCTTACCTCATGATTTGAAGCTGATCCGTCTTCTTCCACAACAAAATTGTCATCTTCCATCCACGAAAGTATACCTTCACCTCTAGCCGAGATCATGGATCCAACTACACGACTAAACTCATCTGCCAATAATTCATAAACTCAGCATTGCTTTGCACAAATAACGAAACAACATTTGCATTTTGATCGAAGACTGATTCCATACCGTGCAAAAGATCATCTAGAGACGATAAACAATCTGAATTGTTCTCAATCTTTGATTGAGACTCAGCTTGAGCTTCAGATATCAAATGCAGATAATCTGCTCCTTTGCTTTTCGGCAGAATCGCATCCGCTGCTTGGCTTTTCGACAAATCCCCAGACGCATTTTCCAAACCCAAATCGAGTTCATCGTCATCATCATACCGATCCCAATTCGAAGGGAGTGCAGATATCCGTCGAGATTGAATCGGAGTCTTTATTTTCAAACCCGTTGTTTGATTTCCTTGTAGCTTCTCCGGATTTCTGGAGTTATCTGAACTTCCTGGGCCTTTTGGCTTATGAACCGAATGTGATTTCTTGCTGTGGTGTTGAGTATGAGCTCTCTTTGATTTCGCCAGAGACTTTGTGTCCATTGCAGAGGAATCTAATAACAAAAAAAATCAAAGCATTATGAGAGATTGCAAATTCTTCTACTCAACCAAAATTAGGGTAAATTTTCGATTCCCAATCTAGATATATTCAAAGATAAAACCCTGACTACTCGAAGAAAAAGGAATTGCAATAGAATGATAACAATTAAGTTTTCTCAATCTCTTTACTTGGATAACAAAAGCCGCACTGAAGAAGATCGAACAAGCTTGCTTGGGAGGAGGAATCTGGAGAGTC